AGCCAAACTTTGGGGAGAGTGCAGGGGACCTTATGGAAGAGTCAGGGGATAGAAGGACCTGGAGAGGACAGGAGCTCCACAAGAAGACCAACAGAGCCAACAAATCTAGGCCCAGGGATGCCTGTGGAGGCTGATGCACCAACGAAGGACCATGCATGAGAGGACTCAGGTTCCTATTCAGATACAGCCGATTGGCAGCTCAGTTTCCATATAAGTCACCTAGTAAGGGGACTAGGGGCTCTCTCTGACAGGAACTCTGTTGCCTGCTCTTCAATCACGTCCCCTGGTGAGGCGGCCTTGCCAGGCTACAGGAGGAAGAGAATGCAGGCAGTCCTAAAGACACTTGATAGTCTGGGGTCATTTGGTAAAGTCCCTCTTTCTGAGGACTAGGGAACAATGATAGCGGGGAAGAGAGAGGGAAGGTGAGACCAGGTGGAGATGAGGGAGGTGGATATGATCAAGATGTTAAAATGAATAAAATGATAATAATAATAAAACAAACAAACAAAAACAAAACAAGAAAGAATAAAACAAGAAGTGGGTGTGGTAGCTTCATACCTGTAACCCCAGCATTCTTGAGGTAGAGGCAGGGGGATTACCACAAGTTTGAGACTAGCGCAGGCTATAGTGAGACATGTGTCAAAAAGCTAAGAGAGGGGATTGGAGTCCTCTTAGCGGTTAAGAGTAGCTTGAAGGGCTGGAGAGATGGCTCAGAGGTTAAGAACACTTGCTGTTCTTCCAAAATCTTGAGTTCAATTTCCAGCAACCACGTGGTGGCTCAGAACCATCTATAGTAAGATCTGGTGTGCAGGCAGAATGTTGTATAAATAATAAATGAATCTTTAAAAAAAAAGAGTGGCTTGTAGGGCTGGAGAGATGGCTCAGAGGTTAAGAGCACTAACTGCTCTTCCAAAGGTCCTGAGTCAGAATTGGTGGGAGGCATGGCAAACAGAGGACTCAGTTCCACTGAGTGAGGTCACCTCTGGAACTCAGAGCAGGAGTGGATAGTGTCAGAGGTCAAGGCTGACACAGGCCACAGGCTCAATGGAAGACCATTAGCCTAGTTTAGGTATGGAACAGGTTAGAGCAGGGAAAGTCCGGGAGGTGAAAGTTGACTTTTTTTTTTTACTTTTTTTTTTTATCTATCTATCTATCTATCTATCTATCTATCTATCTATCTATCTATCTATCTTTTGTTATTTTTTAATTTTTTATTTTGCTTGCATGTATGCCTGTGTGAGAGTGTCCGATCCCCTGGAACTGGAGTTTTAAGCTGCCATGTAGGTGCTGGGAATTGAACACGGTCTTTTGGAAGAGCAGCCAGTGCTCTTAACTGTTGAGCCATCTCTCTAGTCCCTTACTTTATTTTTTTATACCTAACACTTCTTAAGCTCTTGCTGAGCAATGACTGTTTAAATCTACCATGCCCTCTGATGCCCAGGACCTCAACTAGTACTGTTATGAGCCCCAATTTACAGGGATGCACAGGTGTGTATTTGGGGTACAGCATGATGAAAACCTTGCCCTAGAGAGAAAGCAATCTGGCTACATGTGAGTTCTTTTTTTTTTTTTAGATTTATTTATTATGTTTACAATGTTCTGCCTGCATGTACACCTGTGCACCAGAAGAGGGCACTAGATCTCATTCTAGATGGTTGTGAGCCACTATGTAGATACTGGGAATTGAACTCAGGACCTCTGAAAGAGCAGCCATGACTTTTAACACCTGAGCCATCTCTCCAGTCCCTCACATGTGAGTTCTAGTCCCAGCTCTGACACTTATTTGTGTCATGCTACCTTCTGGGAATCTCAGTTTACCTTATTTGTAAAATGGCAACAACAATAGTCCCTGTGGTTGAAGGTTATTCCCAGATCACTCGGAGGGTGAAGGCTATCATGAGCACTCCCATTTTTTCTGATGCAAAACTCATAATCTAACGGTAAACTGACCGGTGTAAGGTCGTGTGCAAGTAGCAGGTACAATGAAAGGATATGAACGGGGCCCTGATTCTTCCTGCATTGGGGAGGGACCTAATAGGGGGTGACATTCCTTGGAACACCATCAGCCTAGACTTCTTGTGCAGCCATAGACCTTGCCCTTGGGCTCCTGAAACCGGTGTTCAGGATTAGGCTAGTAGTGGGTGCTCCAGGCCTTGGCGAGGAACCACAGCAGAATGCCTGGAAGCCTGCTTGCTGCCTGGCATCCTGTCCAATGAGGACATGGCCCTGACATTGTTCTCTGGACCCAGCCTGCCAAGGGCCCACAGGTCAGGAATTTCCGCAGCCTGACCAGCACAGCATTCACTTTCTGGGAAAGCTGTCCCCTGGTAGCCATGGTAGGGGGTGAATGGCCTTTGCTCCCCTGGCCTGGCAGAGACCGCTGGTAAAGGTGGCATCATTAACATCCTCTTAACCTTCCAGGTTCTGGGCCTGGAGGTCGCTGCCGTGGAGACACAGTGACCTCCACATTGGACCTTCTTCGGCCAAGGGAGAAAGCACTGTTTTAGGGCTGCGGAAGTCAGAGTGTTGGCATTCACACCTAGTTTACCCTTCCCTATACACTTAGGAGGCAGGATGGATGGTAGCCGAGGGCCTCCCATGTGCCCCAACACCAGCTCAGGAATGACATGCAGCCTCTTCTGGGGTTTCTGGAACGCAAGCTTCTAGTTAGCACAGCCAGTTTCCTTCCTGTGCCAAATGTTAGAAGGAACTCACCTCCTGGGACTGTGACTCAGGGGTAGAGCATGCGCCTAGCATGTGCGAGGCCCCGGATCCTATTTACAGCGACACAGTATGTGACCTCCCCACTGTCACCCCAAATGCCTGTGCTACATGCCAAGGCTTACGGAAGGCTGGCCTTCCCTGTGGGATGCAGTCTCAGCCATCCACTGTCTAGCTGCACTTGCTCTCCTGTGAGCAGGGCGGCTCCTGCCTGCCTGCCTGCAGGGTCTGGCTGAGGGCTGTAGGTTAAGGTGCTGCTTCCCTCTCTGCTTCTGGCCCCCAGGCCAACCTCAGCAGGAGAGTACCAGCAGGCAGCCCCACAGAGATGGCTTAGAGCCTGGGCAGCTTGTGGCCCATTGTCTCTCAGGCTTCCCACCCGGTGATAAAAGGCCATTAGCAGGGTGGAGCAGACATATAATCCTAGCTGAGGCAGGAGGACAGTCTTGAGTTCCAGGCCAAGTGAAAAGAAACTCCAGTCTTTTTTTTTTTTTTTTTTTTTTCATTCAGTGACAGGGTTTCTCTGTCCTGGACTCACTTTGTAGACCAGGCTGGCCTGAAACTCAGAGATCTTCCTGTCTCTGCCTATAAAGTGCTGGGATTACAGGTGTGAGCCGCCCCGCCCAGCTGAAACTCCATTTTCACTGGATGTTACAGCTGGTTTGCCCACCCCAGCTCCAAAGCCCCGAGGCCCCAGGGTTGGGGAGGGGACCTGAGGCCACTGTGGGACCGCCACATCCCTGGTGAGGTCAGCACCCCGAATTATACAGATCACCCAGAGCATTCTATGCTCATAGCCAGTGACTCATTGGCAGGGGCTGCCAAACCTGGGGCAGCTGTGTCCCTGGCCCTGGGCTCACCTTGCCTGTGGAATCACCTTTTAAGGAGGGGGAGCTTGGTTCTCTCCCTCTGCCAGCTCTCCACATCTATCTCCGGCGAGTCAGACTCCTACCTGGGTTTGTACCTGGCAACCAGTCAGCCAGTTTTTAGATATGACCTTGGCCAGGCCCAGGTCTCTGATGAACCGGTTCCTTCGCTTAGGATATGGAAATGATCCTTGCCTCATCAGAGTGGAATTAAATGAGGTAATGTGTGTAAAAAGTGCTTGGTGAACGGTACCTTTTAAGGGGTGGCAGTGGGGTACAGCAGGGCAGCCTCTGAATTTTGGCCACTCCCCTTCCTTATGGGGTATTTGAAGTTACTCAACTCTGCTGGGCCCACACTCCCTCTTGGCTTGGGAGGTAAAGACCATACATTCTGTACGGTGATGGCGGGCTGGGGATGTAGCTCAGTTGGTAGAGTCCTTGCCTATCATGTATGAAGACCTGGGTTCAGTCCTCAAGGTCATTCTTAGCAAGCCCAAGACTAGCTGGGTGCACATGAGCCTGTCTCAAAATGACAGGAAGCCACAGCAGAGAAACACTGGCCAGTGGTGGGCTTCATGCTTGCTAACCTCTTACCCTAATGTGCTCTCTGGAGGCTGCTAGGAATGAAGGCACTGAACACACCAGGAGGCGCTCTGACCAATGGCTGTCATCCATTTACCTTGCTTGTGGTCTCTGCAGAACAGTCACTGGGCCAGTTTTCTTCTAGACCTGCACCCTCTGCCTCACTCTGCTTCAGCAACACAATAGTTTGTCCCCTAACGGAACAATGTCTGCCACAGTGAAAATGCGCGCGCACGCGCGCGCACACACACACACACACACACACACACACACACACACACCAGAGGACACTGCACACTCAGTTCCAAGGGTACCGGGACCTTCTGTCATCAAGTACATGAGACTTGCTGAAAGCAAGCAGCAAGTCCAAGTGGTCCCTTAACCCCAGGAGGGCTAGAGGCTGGGTTTTCTCAGTCAGGCAGCCTGGCACTCTCCTTAGCCAAGGGAGCTGGAGAGGGAACAGGATGGGTGGAGGGTCTGGTCCCAAGGACTAGAATTTCCTGTGGGCATACACGGGAAGAAGTGCCACCCAGCCAGGAGGGGTCAGAAGCCAGTCTAGGAAGAAGGCCCCAGAAGGGCTGAGGGGAATGAATGGTCAGAGTTCAGGTTTTGGAGACAACCACTATTGGTACAACCCAGCCTGGATTCCTTGAGCCCACGCCTGCACTGGAGGGCGTGTGTGTGTGTGTGATGGTATCCCCAGACCAGGAGCCATGATGGACAGAACACAAGTCACAGGAGGAATATAAAGTCCAAGGGGAACTGGGGACAGTAGTGGGCCTGGGAATACCCCAGTCCACCCCAAGTGTCCAGTACCCACAGAACAGAAGCCAGTGGCAGTGCAAACCTGGTTTTATTGGTCTGACTTGTTCACAGCTCCTCCTGCTCAGGGAACCAGGCCCAGCTAACCCAGGGAGGGGTCAAGGGAGAAAAGGGACAGCTATAGCGTGTGGGCTCGGTTCTTCACAGCAAGAGGTAGAAGGGTCACATAAAGTTCTCTATTACAGACCTACAAAAAATTAAGAGAATCACATTACTCTCCCTTGTTCAGCTTCTGGTTTCCTTTATGAACAGAGGCAGGAGAGGAAAAGTGCCAGAGGCAAATGCCCAGGGCTTAGGGGATTCAGATCAAAGGACCATGGAGATGGGGTGTGGGCGACCACCTACACGGTCAGGGTATGGGCTGGCCCCGGCTCTTCCAGCATCTGGGGGAACAGGGACAGGCCCCAGGAGGAGGACACAGTAGGAGGTGCACAGGGGGCCCCACACCGGTGGCAGGGTGGCAGCATTGCTCCTCTGCTGGCCACTCTGGCCTGGGGGCTGGTTTGGGAGCGCTGCTGGCTTCCAGGTTTGGAGGTCTGCTGCCCAAGGTCAGACCCACAGGGATGAGGGGCAGGGCAGGAAGGACCACCGCGGAGGGCTAAGAGTTCTACTAGGCTCCTCCCCAAAGAGGCTCCCAACAGGCAAGGGCAGCCAGGGCTCTTCCCTGCTCGTCAGCCAATCAGCTTCTTTAGGAAGGCTTCCAGCTGGTCTTCATCCTTGATGCCAACAAACTTGTCCACCACGTCCCCATTCTTGATGGCCAGCACGGTAGGTACAGCAGACACCTGGGTGAGGGAACCACAGAGTCCAGATCACTCCAAGGTGAAGGTTTCTCCTGCACCTTCCCCAAGCCTTTGTGGAGAAGGCCAAAATCACAGGAGGTACCAAAGGAAATGGGGTCTTTACTGGGAGCAGGGCCCAGAGGAGGCCCACCCATTGGGGCATCTTCCACTGCAAGCTCCCATCGGTACTCTGCTCCTGAACCATGTCACTGACTCGCTGGCCCAGCAGTTTGGCTGGGATGATGAGATGAAAGTAGCTGGACAAGCTACAGGCAGGCTGCTTCTTGAGCCTCTCAGCCTCTCTATATACTGGGCATCGCATGGTTTACTCTGAATGTTTGAGATAGAGCTCAGAGTCCCAAGGGAAAAAAAAAAAATATCAGTGGTCTGGAGAGTGAGCTCTAGGGCTGGCTGGTCCAGCCTCACTCCTATCCTGAGTCAACCTGGTAACCCCTTTATTACCTAAAGTCTCGGCTTCCATCAGCAAGCGGAGACACTGACAATACTTTTATTTGGGTGGAAGGATGCCAAGCGACATACTCGAGGGCTGCACAGGGCCCATGGCTCACGGTGGGTGTGAAGCTTGACCTCATGAGGACCACTTTGATGGGCACAGTTAATGATTGTCAGGGACCAGAGATCCACAGCTTCTTCCTGCACGGTGTGGAAAGGGACAGTCGTATGTGACCTGAGGCTTATTAGGGCTGGCAGCAGATGAAAAAAGGGGTCTTCCTGTTCCATGAGGCAATGCCTCCACCGCTCTGGAGACCCATACATATTATATCAAACATAGATGAGGCTGGCCGGCCTGGCATGGTACATTACCCAATGCTCGGTATTTGCTGGCATATGAGAGCCTGTATAAACAGAGTAGATAAACTGGGACTTAGCTTACGTACAGGTTAACTACAAGACAATGAGAACAATGTACAGAAACCCACTAAGTCTTCACACAGCCTGAGGGCTGTGGGATGAGCCTCCTCAGAGGCCAGACTGAGATTATGTTCAAATTGGAAAAAAAGAGAGAAGTGAAGGCCACTTTGGCCCTATCCTAGCCCTCACTGGTCACGTGACAGGCCCTGTCTATTCCTAATGAGAAAAAGACAGCATGTAGGACGGTCTTTGTGCTTTTATTTTTAGCACCTCTGGTCCCTTTAAGGATGGTCCTGGGGGTGACACGGGAGGCCCAGGGTATGTGCCAGCACCAGGAATGGTGCTGACCATAAGTGTCCACAGTCATAGCCTCTCTGCTAGCTCTTGTCCTTGTCTCACTCTGACACAGGTGGTGACATTAACAACCCAGTACTAAGTTTGTACTGACTGTCTCTAGGAAAAGGCAGGGACCAGCAAAACAGGCTCCAGGAAGCCCCATTTGGTGTGTTCCTGCACCCTCTGGTGGCCGATGAATGAGCTGCAGCACCCTAAGGCTGGCAACTCAATTAAGGGACAAGCTGAACTCTGGTGAAATGTTCTGTCAGTGGACATTCCGTCCCTTTAAAATAAATATTCCATTTTTAAGATGTGGTCTAGGGTTGAGGGCGTGGCTTGGTGTGGAGTACTTGCCTAGTAGGCACAAGGTCTGGGTTCCATTCCAAAAGCAAAAAACAAAACAAAACAAGGAACTTCCCTTTGTTCTGGTGCTAAGTGGACGGAGTTTCCCTCCTGTGGAGTTCTGCTGTGTTTGCAAGCCTCTGCACAGGCTGGGACACACAAAGACCAGGTTGGGGTCCACGCCGATTGAGGTCTGGTCATTACTGATCGAGGGCTTTCTCATGTGCGTCTGAGTAACACGCATGTAAACACGCATGCACGCAGCTGCAGGCTCCCAGAACACTGTTCTAGGTGAGGTATCTGGGCTGTGACCAGAAGCCAAGGCTTGGTCCTAAATCAGGGTGCTTAGAACCCAGCCATCAATGTTAATACTCGGGCCACTGCACGTGGTCTTGGGTGTTGGGAACACAGGACAGCGATGGGGCATGCCTTCGCCTCCTCCTCACTTCCAGCACGGCAACAGGAATCAATGCTATCTGTCCTGCTCCGAGAAGCCATGGGGGCCCCTAGCTTGGAACGTGAATGCTCACATGATCTCGCCCAACTGACCTGCAACGTTCCCACTAGCAACTCTGCTGTGAAACCATCAAAGGGCAGCACAGCCGACACCGCAGGAAGCTGTTGACCTCGGTGGCTGAGGGACACACCGTGGGTGGAGAACGTTTTTAAGTGTCAGGAAAGGTCCTGGGTGCTTATCTATGCACGCTCATAGAATGCCGACCCTAGGTTGGTCCATTTTATTGTTTCTACACATAGTTGCTGTCACTGAGCAACATCCTAACTCTCCTAACTCTCTGCGTCATTTTAGATATGAGACCAGTGAGGCTCAAAGCACCTATTTCAAGAGGACTCAGAAAATTAAGGAGGGATTAGAAACAAGAAACAAGGTCTGTTAGGCTTTGTTTCTACAGGAGAGTGAAGGATCAGAGACAGAGAAAACACAGACCCCAGGAGGGGAAAGGCAATTCAGAGAAGAACTCAATGACTTCATGCTTTAAATGATGCCCAATGTTCTGTAAAAGCGAATACAAGAGAGTTCTTAGAAAAACCATTATTGCCAGCCATGTCACCTTTAAACCCAGCGCTCAAGAGGTAGAGACAGGCAGATCTCTGAGTTCAAAGCCAGCCTGATCTACGGAGTGAGTTCCAGAACAGCTAGAATTACACAGAGAAAACACTGTTTTGAAAAACCATAATTTAACAAACAAAACAGGGCTGGAAAGACGGCTTAGTGAGTAAAGACACTTGCAACCAAGCTTGATGACCCCGAGTCCAACCCACTGGACCACTTGACCAAGGGGGAGAACAGACTCCTGGATGTTATCTTCGACACGGGGCTGGGGAGATGGCTCGAATGCCATGTAACCATGAAGCCCACATCTGGATCCCGACACTCATGTAAACGCTGGGTGGGTACAGTGCCTGCCTAAACTCCCGGCATTCCAGAGGCAGAAAATCCTGCAGCAGGCAGGCTCACAGCTGACCAGAGCAAGCAAGGAAGACACCAACTTTAAGCCCACAGACGCACTGGCACCCAGCACACACAGCCACTTAGGAATTATACCCTTCCCAGGACTCTGGGTGATAATCTGCTTTTTATTCCCCCCCCCCCCCCCCGCAGGAAGGAACCCAGGGCTTTTGGCATACGTGTTCTAGGCATGTGCTCTACCACTGAGCTATACCCTCAATCCCAGAGTCTGCTCTTTTGAGAATTCCATAAATGCCAGGTAGGTATGGTGGCCTACCTGTAACTCAGCCTCGGATGGAGGGTGGTGGTGGGGGAGGTCTTTACAGCATTCTAGCTAGCAAGCGAGACCTTGCCTTAAAGGATAGGTGGAAGACTATAAGGATGATTGCCAACATGGCATCTGCATGGACGCACATGCATGTACCCCCCCACACACAAGCAAACCATGCATTGTGCACATGGGAAAAAAAGGGGAGAAAAACAACAAAGAAAAGGAATCCTCCAGGAGGATGAGCCAGGTTGCTTCACGGATAAAGGCACTTGCCACCAAGTCTGACAACCTGGGTCCAATCACCGAAACCCTCGTAACAGAGAGAACCAATTCCCACCAAGTTGTCCTCTGACCTCTACACGTGTGCTTGACATGGGGGCCCATGCATACAATGTACAGTGATGATAAAAACCAAAACAAACAACAGCCCACATCGTAGTCAAGTGTGAGAAGCACTGATTCCCGAACAGGGGAATTAGAAAGGCTTAACAGCATGTATTTTAAACTAGTTGATAATGTGTCTATTGGGGGATACATTCTAAAAAGGAAAACCAGCAAAACAGACACGACCCAGCCAGGCTGTGGATGTGGATCAGTTGGCGGGGTGCTGGCTCAGTGTCAGAAAGCCCCGGGTTCATCCCAATTTCAACTGGGAATTGGGGTGCATGCCTTTAGTCCCAGTACTTGGGAGGTGGAGGCAGAAGATGGTTCAAGGCTATCCTGTGTTATACACTGAGTTTGGCACCAGTCTGGACCACATTAAAAAACATGCCACCTCCCTCTCCAAAGTAAGTAAGTAAGTAAGTAAGTAAGTAAGTAAATAAATAAATAAGTCACTAAAGTAATGATGGTGGCTGTGTCAGATGGTCAGGCTACAGGAGATGCTGGCTTGTTCTCATTTCTACAAAAGGACCACACCTTCAAGTGCAAGGCTGAGAAAGAGAGGCCTCAGGGGACAGCAGATGGCCCATTCTCTCCTTACTGGACCCCCCCAGGAACTGGCAAGGTCTCAAGGGTTAGGACAGAGATGGGGGGAGGGTGAAGGCCTTGCACCCCCTAAACTGAGACTACGCAGAATAGGAGTGGAGGCTGTCAGTGAAACCCCAAAGGCCTCAAGGACTTTTCTTCCTCCTCCTTCAGGGGCAGTGGAAGTCAGGGTGGGCGGTGGAGGAAGCATGTGGGGGTCAGGGAGGCTTGAGAGGTACCTGGCTCTGAGAATGGCTTTGAGCAAGTCTGACAAGTTTGCCACATACCTCGCATACCTGCAAGAGGGCTTGGGGCCTTACAGGAAGCTTCCCAGGGGGCTGGGGATTACTTGGTGGTGACTTCCTTCTTGGACTCTCTTTAGAAAGAATATGTGCAAGGTAAGGAAGGGCAAGGAGCAGGCAGGGTGGGCCTGTTGGGATTCATGGGATGTCAGTGGCCCCAGCCCAGGGCTTGACAAAACGAGGACAGAAGACGACATGTAGGCTGTCTCGGATGCCTTTCTGTGTAACCAAGGCATTGTGTGGACGGTAGGCAGCGGGAGGATAAGGGTCCCAAAGGACTTCCTCACCTTCCAGGCTCACCACAGGGATGTCCATACTCATCCCATCCCAGGCTCGCTCGAGTGCAGGAGGAGCTTTGGTGCTGGCAACTCCAGTCACCCATGGCACCCCAGGGGACCTCTGTTGGTGGAAGTCTGCTTTGCATCTTACCAGCTTCCAGGCCTTAGCACAGGGTTGGTCTGTAGCTCTCTGCCAAACACATGATGCAGAGCCTGACATGGGAGCATTTGGAGGTCCCAGGAGACAGCCTGGAAATCTTAGGCCAACCCATGCCCCGGGGTGGTTCCTGCCGTGAGTTTCTACCAAAAGGCCACACATTTACACTTGAACCTGCTGGGATCTCGGCTGTGCAATGGGTAAGCTGGGGGAAAGTTGGAGGGCCCCTCCGACTGAGCTTCAAAAACACTGTCTCCCGCCACCCAAGCCCTTAAGTGACCTGGGTTATGACATCTCAAGGACGGCCTTGCATCAGGAGCAGTCATCCTTGGTCCTGTCTTCCCAGAATTCACTTCCTCTGCTCTGCCCCAGCCAGCCTGATTCCCTTTGACTAATTATTATTCTGCTCTCTGTCCAGCTCAAGAGATGGGCAATAGTTCTCACACTGTCCACCCTCTGCTTCCCTCCACGGGCTCTGGTCAGAGGATGGAAAACTGTACCTCAGTGGCTTTCAGGGAGGAAGGCCTGGTTACCTAAGCCTAAATGTCTGAACTCTGAGAAAAAATTCTCTACTTCCCTTAGCCTCTTATATCCAGAGGGAGGGAAAGGTTCACTTTGGCCTTGGGATTTCAAGAACTCCAGCGACGGGGATTTCTGAAAGAATGCACTCGTTCTTCGAGAGAAGGTCTTGCTATCTGTCCCAGGCTGGCCCGATGCTCAGTCTGATGGGCTCACGGGCATGTGCCACCATGCCTGGCTTGCACAAATCCTTCTGAGTTTTAAATATCAGCACCTGGTTTCCCCTTTTTAAAAAAACGCACTGACAGCCAGACCAAACATATCTGTTGAACCAGGGCTGGGCCCCAGGCAGCCAGGTGTGACCTCAGCTCTGTGAGTGTCACGGGCAGCAGTTTCCCTAGGACCCCTGTTCCAGTATGGCCTGCTTTCCCATGCACCTGGCCTCCCAACCCTGCTCTTCCTTTCGCCTAGCCCCACAGCCACAAAGGGACTCTCTCTTTCCTCAACTGTGGCCGTCTGGGGTCCACAGGATATCCCACTCCTGTGGCCAGCCCAGGGCTTCTGTTTGCCCTGCCCCGTGTCTCTTTCCTGAGATGTACACACTTCATTCACTGCTTCTTTCAGGTCTCTGTTATGTTACCTCCTCACGGAAGACAGTCCCCTGACAGACTGTGATGGTGCACACAGACGGAAGCACTGGGTCAGAAAGACAAGGTCATTTTCACATGGTGACATCAAGGCCAACCTGAGCTCCCTCAACAGGCCAAATCAAAGAACAGAACAAAAAGAAAAACAAAAGAAGAGTCCCTCCTCCATTTCCATCTTTCCACAGCACTCATCAGTTTGGACGTTGACACAGACGTCAGTGGCTGAGTGTCCCCAAGCCAAAACTTTCAGCTCTGAAAACGCTCTGAAAGCCTAAGTGTTTACCAATGACTGCCAAAGCCTCTGTACTGGCAGCCTATGCCTGAAAAGTGGACCATGGCCCCCGGGGCCAAACTCTGCTTGTTACCCACATCTGTAAACAGTGACTGGAACATGCCACTTTTAGTTTGTCCTGTGGCTGGGGACTTCAGAGAAAGCTGAGCTGCTGCAGCAGCCACTGCCTGCCTGCAGAGCCTCACGTGTTTACTGGTGGCTTCTTCAGCGACTCAGAGTTCTTCAAAAGATGTATCTGTAAGCTTGTTTATGAACTTTGATATTATTTAGATTTACTTATTTAAATTAAAATAAAATTTATGGGCATGACAATTTTGTCAATAAAGGCCAGAAGGAGGTGTCAGACTCTTTGTGGGCTGTGATATAGGTGCTAGGAATTGAACCCATGTCCTCTGGAAGAGCAACCAGCACGTTTAGCCTCTGAGCCATCTCTCCAGCCACTTGACATTCCTGAACGCTGCTTGCTGAGGTCAGAGTGGTTTTTGTTTTGAAATTTTCCCTTTATTTTTATTTCATGTGAATGGGCATTTTGACTGCAGCTACGTCAAATGCACCTTGTGCATGCAGTGCCAGAGGAGGCCAGAAGAGCAGCACAGCGTCTGGGGCTGAGATGATTGTCAACAGCCATGTGGGTGCTGGGGATGCAACCTGGGCCTCCTGGAAGAGCAGCCAGTGCTCTTAACTGTTGAGCCATCTCTCCAGCCTGCCTTTCTTTTTTTGTTGTTTTTGTACTGAGACGATGGCTCACTCTGTAGCCCAGGCTGGCCTTGAGCTTGAGGCATTCTCCCTGCCCCAGTCTCTGGATTGCAAGGGTGAAACATCACTTCTGGCTCTTTCCTTCTTGCTATGTGTCCTTCATCCCCACACACTTCAGGTCACAGGCTTTGGAATGTGAAGCCTTTGCTGTCCTGGCCACTTCTACCCATGACAAGGTGTGCTACTTCTTCTCACACAACTTTTTATTTCCGGTTGGAATGATCACCTCAGACCAAGAAACATCTGGGGACAAGGGTCTCCTCTTACCTGTGCCACAATCATGCCTGGCATGCCAGCCAGGGCTCATAAGCAACAGCTGGCTGCAAGTGAGGTACGTAGGACAGGGAGACTTAAGAGGATGACTGACTTGTGACCAGCCATGGTGGCACATTCCTATAAGCCTAACACTTGAATGGCAGAAGCAGGAGCATCAGGAGTTCAAGGACGGCTTGGGCTATATAAAACCCTATCTCAGAAAAACCAACAACGGCCGGGTGGTGGCGGCTCACGCCTTTAATTCCAGCACTTGGGAGGCAGAGGCAGGCGGATCTCTCTGAGTTCGAGGCCAGCCTGGTCTACAGAGCAAGTTCCAGGACGGCCAGGGCTGTTACACGGAGAAACCCTGTCTTGAGAAACAATACAAAACCCAAAAACCAGTAACAGAGAATGACCTAGTGTTTTGGGCCACAAAATCCACTTCCTAAGGGTGCTAGAGATCAATGTGTGCTAAGCCCGGAGCTCTATAACACCAGACATGCCTCTCACTGCCTGTTCTCCTACATCACTGAACAGTTTAAGAAATTAATGTAAATCTATGAAAGCAACCCTACTTATTATGGGCTGTGACCAAGCAACTAACTGGACAATAAATGTACAGAGTTACTTTTCTTTATGGGCCCTGGGAGGTCTTCCACACCCCAGTGGGTGATCACATCCAAGAGTATGCAGTCAACACAGGTTGGACTCCACGGGTGTTTTAGATGAGGACACGGAGTTGGTGGTCCACACAATGTCCTCACCTTGGCTTCTCCGAGACAACTCTACGCCAACACATACCTCATACTCAATGGCCAGGTCTGTGTGGTCGTCGATATCCACTTTGGCCATCACCACCTTCCCATGCTGTTTGGCCACCATCTTCTCTAGCCTCGGTCCTAGGATCTTGCAGGGGCCACACCACCTCAGAAGGGAGGCGAGAAGGGACAGTCAGTCCTGAGAGTGCTTGCTGTTACACTTGTCTCCCAAGGACCCCCCTGGAACCCTCATGGACTCTGAAGGTAAAAGGAAAGGGAGGGAAACCCAGGAGGGTGGGCACCTTCTCAGAGGCATGCACGACCTTGAAAAGACATCCCCTAGAGGATCCAAGGCCTGTGGAGTTCTTGCAGATGACAGAATGGGAAGGCACATGGCCTGGCAACGGGGTGCAATCCAGCAATTCCTCAACTTGGGGGAGGGGTTGCTGGGCATGCCCATGGGGGATTATTTTGATGAGGTAAATTGAGGTGGGATAGATTCCACCAATTGTGGGTGGATGGAGCTGCTCTCTGAGCTAGGATTCTGATTGTGTAAAAAGAAAAAGTTGAGTGTACAAGATGGCTCAGCAGGAGAGGGCTCTTGCTGCTGGGCCTGACAACCCAGTTTGTCCTGGGAGCCTCCATGGTAGGAAAGTATCAAGTCCAGAAGGCTGACCTCTGATCTCTGCATGCACGCCATGGTACGAGGAAGTATGTATTTATATACATAATAAATAAATGTTAAAAAAAAAAAAAACCTACAGAGTTGAGCACAAATATTCATCCCTCTTTGTTCTTTCATTAGAGATCCAACGTGATTAGCCTCCCCAAAACTCTGTCACTATGGCCTCCCTATTATGATGGGCTGAGCTTGGAACTGTGAGCCAAACCTTTTCTCCCTTAAGCTTCTTTTGTCAGAGTATTTTATCATAGCAACAAAATACCTAACTGAGACAGGAAGAGAGAGGAACAGGAATTTGAGGCTAGCCTGGGTTACATAATAAAGCTCAGTCTTGATAAAACAAGCAGAGCCAGGACCACCTCAAGGTTGCTAAAAGCGTTTTTTTTTCTTTCCTTTTTTGGGGAGGGGTGGTTGTTGGTGGTTTGAGACAGGGTCTCACTATGTATCCCTTTCTGGGTCAGAACTCGATTTTGTAGACTCAGCTAGTCTCAAAGTCAGAGATCCATTTGTCTCTGCCTCCCCCCCCGCTTTTTTTTTAAAATTTTATATGCTTTAGTGTGAAGGTGTCAGATCCCTTGGAATTGGCTTTACAGACAGTTGTGAGCTGCCATGTGGGTGCTGGGAATTGAACCCAGGTCCTTTGGAAGAGCAGACAGTGCTCTTAACCACTGAGCCATGTCTCCAGTCCCCTTGTCTCTGCCTCCAGAGTGCTGTGATTAAACAGGTGTACCACCACTGCCTGGCTAAACCATTTTTGTAAATTAATTTAATTTTATTTCATGAGTTTTGGTGTGAGGGTGTCAGGTCCCCTGGAATTGGAGTTATAGACCGTTATAAGCTGCCATGTGGGTAGTGGGACTTGAACCCAGGTCCTCTGGAAGAGAAGCCTGTGCTCTTAATCGCTGAACCATCTCTCCAGCCACTGAGATTGTTTTCTTAGACAAAGTTTCTCGGTGTGACACTGTCACTCAAGGACTCTCTGACTTCTTATTCTGTACCAACTGCTGAGGATCATACTGCAGCAGACAGGAGTGACCGCTCCTTGGCTGGGGAGTGGGAAGTCTCCTAAGGCAGATACTGTGCTACCATTTCTGTACGTGATACCAGAGATGTGTCCATCCCTAAATGAACAAACCCAAACCAAGCAATCAACTACCTTGTAGAGGAGAAAAAATAAAATAAAATAAAATAAAATAAAATAAAATAAAAGAGGACTAACTCACTGACCATTCCTTTCAGAAGCTTTCCACCATACCAGGAAGTTGGAGGAATTGCCTTCCACAGATCCCTGGCCGTCAACTCCTGCTTTATCTTTTCTATAAGCTGGCCCATACCAGTCGTCTCTTATATACAGGAGGTGGAGGCAGAAAAAGGCAAGCTCAAGTCTGACATAGACTACACAGTGAGACCCTATCTCAACTCCTCATTCCTATCCCAAAACTTCCAATCAGTTAATAAACCTAAATATCTAAAAAGCCAGCCTGCAAGGCCTTATCTCAGACAACAGGACACATACAGGTCTGTCCAAGGCAACTCGGTGAGTCAGAGAAAAGACCAGAAAGAAAACAAAAGAACCCGTGAGACCTGTCTAGAAAGCCTCCTAATTGTTAATCAGGTTCTTGGCTTTTTGGTTGAATCGGGTGTAAAGGTGTAAAGGAAGGAAGACCAGGTTAAAATGCAGGCATTTCTATATCCTAAAACACACAATTACCGTATGGGAAGGACACAGCTCCTGCCCACCCCAGACACACGTGGGCACTACCATGGCGGTGCTGATGATTTGCCCAGCCCTTCCCACAGTTTTGGTGGCTGAGATGTTAAAATAAAACGTTATTCCACACTGGAGAAGACTTTTCAGGCCGTGAGACGCAGGACACAGGCGTGACGCAGCACTCACCCTGGCCTGCTTATGAAGACTGTTTGCCAATTTGTCTCCTACCACACTGCATGCTTCTTAAGGGCAGGGCACCGGGTCTCAAAAGTCTTCATAGTGAGTTTACACATGAAAAGCATTGTACATGGTAGCGAGCCATAGTGGGCACCATCGCTGGCATGCAATAAATACCTGCTCAAGTACGTCTCCCCCAGTACTCACTGCGCGTGGAAGTCCACAACAACTGGCGTCTCACTGTTGACAACTCTGTCTTGAAAGTCAGGTCCATCCTGGATGTTAAAGGTTGTTGAACACACTCTGGAGGTGTGTAGCGTCCGGGCTGGGCTGAGTGTTCCTGCCTGACCCTCGGCACTGTACTGAGGGCTCTGCAGGGTCCTGGGGGTGAGGGAAGCCCACCCACCGTGAGGGGACTTCCTGGAGATGAGTGAGGTCAGGAACCTCCTCAGGAGCAGCCGCTGAGCCATCTGTGAGAGAAAGAGGCACGAAGAGCTGGGGTACACGGTACACAACAGGAAGTCAGCACGCTAGGAAAAACAAAGTTATCTTGGAATTCTGAGATGTCTGACACATGCAGCGCTGGAAGCAAAATGTATGATTTTTGTGTGTGAAGCACGCTTGTCATTATAAATAGCTATAAGTCACGGTCAGTTTGGGCTATACAATAAAACCCTGTCTTGAAAACTTCCACACAACAACAACAAAAGCTATCTAGAGGCGAGGGCGGAATGAAGACTTAGGTGTAATTATGAGGCTGCTGGAAGGCGGAACGGAGTTACATCACTGGTTCTCCCTGATCAACTCTGAAGAAACTGTTATAATACTGTCCACATTCGGGGAAACAGGTGGCTTAAGTGACACGCCCAACGTCACCCAGTTTTTAAAAGGACAGTTAATTGGAACCCAAGGTGTCAGTAAAATCTTTACCCTCTCAATCGCTCTTTTAAAAAGTGCCTTTTAATGGGAAATTAAGGAGGGTAAAGAGAGCTGTCGAAGGATGAGCAAAGAAGCCTCCCAACTACGGAAGGAGGAACCAAGAGGCATAGGAACCAGCCACGGGAGACCAAATAGAAATGGGTGCATGTGTACAGAGGGAAGCCCAAAGGAGGGACACGTGTTGGGGGGATTGGGGAGACGGGGAGCGCAGGGCGTGTGGCTGCCGAGGCTAGGTCCCCCCTCTCAGGGCTTCCGCCTGCCGGTCGCCAGCCTGCACTGGAGCCAGCCGCCTCCGCGGCTCGGCCCAACCCTCGGGGCTCCTACCTCCCGGCAGCGCGAGCGGAGGGTTGCGGAGCCTAGACGGCCTGCCCTTCAAGGGCACTCCTGTTGTCACTTCCTCAGTGGCGGACCTAGCGTCATTTCCGGGAAAGACTACCGGGACAGCGTTTCTCCGCAACTTGGGGGGTGGGGGCTCGGTATTTTCTACCAATGAGGGTGACGAAAAGAGATGCGACCGAGAGGGCGCGACCGGAAAGGATGGGACCAAGGAGGAGGGACCGGAAGTGGGGTGGGACTGGCGAGGGAGGTTAGTTGGGAGGAGGGGCGGGAATGCGGGGAGGAAGGAGTGGCTTTGGAACCAGCCGTTGCTGCTTCTCGTTTTATTTGCCCTTCGGTCTGGCCTCGAGAAAGGGCAGGAAGGAAAGGGCTGTGTTCATCTTAACGTCGAGGAAGCTCTCTTCCGCGGAAGCTTAGTGTTTAAAGGAAGAGATTCCCGGGCTGGGGTTGTGGCTCAGTGGGTAGAGTGCTTGCTAGCACACACGAAGCCTGGGTTCTCAGTACCATGTAAACCGGCTATGATGGCACATACCTAATCCCAGAAACTCAGAGGCCGAGGCCGAAGAGCTCAGGAGTTCAGAGTTATCCTTGACTACATAGGGAATACTTGAGACCCTGTCAGTGTGTGCGTGTGTGTGTGTGTGTGTGTGTGTGTGTGTGTGTGTATTCTGTGGTCCTTGGCTCTTGTCTGTGCAACCTAAGTTCTTATAGTTGAGCAAGTCGCTCTGCCCCTAAAGGCTGGTGGTACTTCTAAGGCCTTTCAAGCTTTTGTTTTTGGAATTGTTGGGAAAGCAGGACCCAAGGTGTCATCTGTGAAGCTTGGGCCTGGGGCGCTCCCTCCATTCCCACTGGCATGAATAACTGAGGTGTAAGTACCCTCCTTACTCATACTGTAACTTGTATTCCAGCCCCTTATGGTCTGAGAACACATTGCCTGCTCACTTCTTCCACAACTTTTTTACCCTGAATTTCGTTTCTCAGTGCTTAGAACACCCGCCATCCTTATCTTCTCTGAGTGGTATCACTTCCTTCTCGCTAGTCCTTGCTTTGGAACCCAACTAACACATTACAGTGTCTCTTGCACCAGGTCTGTGCTTTCTGAGAGTGGGGACTTGTGGGCGTCGCTCACCTGCAAATGCTCAGCACCAACCTCGTGCAGTGCTGGACCCAGAGAGGCTGCTCAGTAGATGCTCACCAAATCTAGGTTCTTTGCACATCTCAGCAGGTGGTTCTGTCAGAGGGGTTATGTGATGTGTCCAGGGCGAACAGGCAAACTGGCAGGACTCCATCTGCTGAGGTGTGTTGGTGTCTGCAGTTATCGCCAGAAGGCTTTCCTAGAACTACACTTCTGAAAAGTATGCTACTAGGTACTAGATTTGGTTTTGGATCTCTTTTCTATCTCCTCCAGTGGAGGCAGGACCTCCTCTTTGCACCTCTCAGTCCCCATTCTCCAAACTTTGTTTTGTTGTCTGTTCCTTTCTTTTCCTTCTTTCCTCCCTCTCTCCTTAACCCCCCTTTCCTCCCTCTCTTTTTACCTCTATTCTCTCTCCATCCCCCCTCCCACTTTTTTTCTTTTTGGTTTTCGAGACAGGGTTTCTCTGTGTGATAGAGCCCTAGCTGTCCTGAACTCTCTTTGTAGACTAGGCTGGCCTTGAACTCACAGAGATCCACCTGCCTCTGCCTCCTGAGTGCTGGGATTAAAGGCGTGTGCCACCACAGCCAGCCCCCCTCCCCTTTTCTTTTCTTTCTCAGATAGAGTCTTCCCTTATCCCAGATGAAGTTTTGTGTGGTGCTAGAATTAAACTAAACAAGCACTTTGCCAACTGAGTGGCACCCCTTACCGCGGTGTCTTTTTATTTCTCACTCTACTGTCAGCCCTGCAGTGTTGGGGTTGGCTCTGCATACACCATGGCCGGCAGAGGAATGATTTGCAAGAAGGCAAGAAGGCAGCCCAGTTCAGCACGACTCAGTAGCTGGGGTTGGTTCAAACTTTGAGAGCCCGACACTGGGTAGTTTATTTTAGGCATATTTAAGCCCAACACAATTTAGAAAAATCTCCTGGTGATAATTAACTCAATCCCATGTGCACAATAAAGCTTAAGACATGACTACATTGGAAATTCCTTGTAAAGTACATTTCATGCCTTCCATAAAGATGGGTTCCATAGACTGACTACAGGTGATGTCTTAAGGGTGTCGGAGGATCTGGTGTGGAACCAGTCATACAGATGCACAGAGGTCACCAGGCTGTTAGCCACCTTCGCTCCCAGCCACCTCCACTCCCAGCCTCCTAGGTGGAAAACAGGTTATACTTATGGTCCTTTGAAGAGACAACCCTGTGTTTGACATCCTGGTTTCCATAGTGCTTCTCTGTGAGTGCAAGAACCCGTGTCCCTCCACACTGCAGGATCTGTCTGTGTTACTTGCCCCAGTGCCTGACATCGTAGGAGGGGCCCAGTGGCTCTGGGAGGTGCAGCAATGACCCACAGAGTTCTAACGTCAAATCCATTTTCCTCAGCACATTCCATGGTCCGTTGTACCCTTCCAAAGCCATTGTCATGCTCTCATCCGGTTCATCTTGGCCACATCCTGCTCGCTCGCTCTCTCTCTCTCTCTCTCTCTCTCTCTCTTTCTCTCTCTCTTTGTCCTCTGTCCAGTTGGCAGGTCCCCCTGCTGTGCAGGGCTTTTTCCTCTAGGACAAAGTGAGGGGAACAAGGGTACTTGCCCTAGCTAGCCACTGCCATGTCAGCCTTCGACTTGGTAGAGTCTTGCCCACTGAAGGCAGATTAGGTCAGGTATGGGCAGAGTGGCCTCTCTACCTTGTTTGACCTCTTGTCTTATTCCCTGCCCTTATCCAGGATGACAACCCACAGGGGGATACCCAGATCCCCGGGCTCCTGAGGTCAGCCTCCCTTGCTGCAGCTGTTGCTGATAATGCCAGGCACCATCTGGCAGGGATGCTCTGCCCCACCTACTTCCATATCTGCTTTTCTCTGTCTCCAGCACTTTCTCTTCCCCAGCCACCTACCCGTCCTAGTCAGCATTTTCAGAGCGTTTCTTGTGAGCCAATTTCCTTGCTTGATCCCCATTCTGAATTCTAAAGCAGGACCAGTCCTGTTTATGTCTATTTTATAGTCATCTCACCTTTCTTGGCCCAGGCTTCTTGTCTGAGAAATGGAAACAACCTGACTTCCTCAGAGAAAGACTGTGAGCTAACTGAGTAGTGCATGCCTTTAATCCCAATACTCAGGAGGCAGAGGCAGATGGATCTCTGAGTTTGAGGACAGCCTAGTTTACAGAGCAAGTTCCAGGACAGCCAGGGCTACACAGAGAAAGCCTGTCTCAAAAACTGAGGGAGTGGGAATAAGAGGATACAGGAGCTTGCATGATGTCAGTTCCTTTTCCTCTGGCAGGTAGATGGCTTGTTACAAAGGCTAAGCTCTCAGCAGGCTGCCAAAGGTCCCTCAGGTGCTTGGTGGTACCTATGTCATGGGACTGGTACATTCACCAATCAGATTCAGGGCACAAGCTTGAAGCAGAGCAAAAGGAATCAGGACAGGCAGCTACATCTGTGTTTCAGATTATGAGTTATGAGCATTGGTGAAATCAATGTTGTGATCAGTTTAAAAGTTTTTTTTAAAATAAATTTATTTAATATGTTTATTTAATTTTATTGTATGTGCACTGTTATAAAGGTGACAGAATCCCTAGAACTGGAGTTATAGACAGTTGTGAGCTGCCGTGTGGGTGCTGGGAATTGACCCTGGGTCCTTTGGAAGGCAGAGAGTGCCCTTAAACACTGAGCCATTTCTCCAGCCCCTAAAAGTTGTTTGTTTGTTTGTTTGTTTGTTTCAGATTTACTGTTTACTTACATGTAGAAGTGTTTTGCCGGCATGTACATATGTGCACTGTAGAGGTCAGAAGGAAATGTTGGATCCCTGGAACTGGTGTCATATAGATGCTGGGAACATAACCCAGGTCCTTTGCAAGGGCAACAAGTGCTCTTAACTGCTGAGACATCTCTCCCATCCCTCTGTGATCATCAAAGTTAGCTGGGCATGGTGCCACATGACCTTAGTTCCAGCACTCAGGAGGTTGAGGCAGGTGGATCTGTGATTTAGGACAGCTTGATTTAGGTTCAGGCTAGCCAAGGCAATATAGTGAAATTCTCTCTCAAAGACACACAGAGAGAGAGAATACAGAGGGGCTTGGAGATATAGCTCAGCAGAGTGCCTGCCTAGCGCACAAAATGGTCCCGGATTTGATACCCAGCACTGCATTATAGGAGTGCGTGCCTACAGTCCCACCATTCAGGAAGCGGAGCGGGCCAGTCAGAAATGCGAGGTCATTCTTGGCTATATTAAGTTGATAGTCAATCTGGGCTACATGAGACCCTGTCTCATACAAAATAAGATAAGGAAACAGAATGGAGTTGAAAATGCCAAAATTCGGTGCATGCCTGCAATTCCAGCACTCCGGAGGCAGAGGCAGGTGGATCGCTGTGAGTTCCAAGGCCAGCCTGATCTACAAAGCAAGTCCAGGACAGCCAAGGCTACGCAAAGAAACCCTGTCTAGAAACTTTCCTCCCACCCCTCCACTCTCAAAAAAGAGAGAGAGAGAAACATGGCAGGTGTTACCAGCCGTGCTTTGTGTGGCGTCTGTTGCTATGTGACCAAAAAGAATTATTCTCAGAGATGGTCTTGTGTACTCAGCCCCCTAAATGTCGAGATGGCAGCCTTTCACTGCTTCTCTTCCTGACGATTTTGGTTAAAGGGTTTGAACTGTCCCGCTGTGCTGCAGTGTAACCACGTAAATGCCTAGCACTGTTGTCAGCCTCCTGCATGCTAAACTCATCACACCCTGCTGCTCTAGGAAGAAGGAACAGTTGAAGCCACAGCCTTCATCTCAGCGGAAGCCACCCGGGCACATGGAAATCAAGAAGCTTGTCGGCACACACACAGAACACGGGGGTGCGTCTTAACAGGGCCATGCTGCCCCCAGAAGAGTCTGCCTTGGCTCTAGAGTGCTGCCTCCTCCCCCAGCCTCCAGAGTCCCGCCAAGCAGCACAGGCCATCTGAGGCCAAGCCGTGG